TCCCCCCTGCAGCACAGCAGCCGTGGTCCCCATCTGAGTCATTAGTGGAGCAAACAAAGGAAAAGCAGCACCAAAAGCACCTGGCCAGGGCCCAGCTCTTGTCATAACTGCACAGCCTGCACTGCTGAGAGATCTGGAGGCTGAGCTACCGACCAAGAAACCCCAACCCATCCTGCAGAGCAATCCAGCAGGACGTGCCGGAGCGGGGCCAAAGGAGCCTTCCCAGACCAGTAGCCTCCCACACCAGATTAAAATTCCATAGGAATTTGCTAAACAAATCGGCTCTCTCAGCTCCTGCCATAAACCAGGGGGATGTTTTGCATCACTCCCCCACCAGGGAGGGGGGGAAACAGCCCCCTGTGCTTGACCCACACGCTGCCCACGGGAACGCCTGGCCCAGCACTGGCTTCTGCAGCATCAGCTGTGGTACCTGGCTCCATCTGGCCCTGAGGCACCACCAAACAAGTCCCTGCTCCCCCCTCCACCAGTCTCTGGATTCTCTCCCCTCAGTTTACTACATCTTCCAGCTGCTGCTCCCTCTCTCCCTCCTGAGCCGGAGGTGTCGGTGCTGCTCTCGTTATCTTCAGCTCAAAACAGAGCCAAGAAGAGGAGGGAAGGGGGGGAAAAAACCAACACATCTCTTAAGAAGAAAACCCACACACTAACCCTCTTCCAGCCCCCTCCCTCGTCTGCTCTGAAGCACAAGGAAATGGATTAAAAAGAACCAGTGGCAGGGGTGGAGAAGGGCTGCAGAGAGACCAGAGCATGGGAAGTGACCACAGCCCCAGTCACCCAACCCAAAGCCCTGCCAGCAGTTCCCCTGCAGAGAGGAGCCCACTGGGCATGTCTTACAGCCTCTGGAAGGAGCCTGGAAAGGGAATTTTGCATGGGCTGGTTTTACAAGAACTAAACGTCTCAGTTCTGTGGAGGCAGAGACCTCAGAAAGAAAGAAAGGACAGAATCAAAGTGAATGGGGAGAAGACAAAACAGAATGGGTCACTGGAAGGGAGATGCTTGCAAAGCAGCCCTGCTCCCACACCAGCCAGGAACCTTCTGAGGGCAGAGCAAAGCAGAGGAACCCTGGGGCCAGGCTTGGATGGGACAGAACAGCCATCTGGCTGCTCCTGCACCCCTCTGGGCACCCCACGTCCATCCCTGCAGTGTCCCAGCTGCTCTCCCCACGCAGCCCAGGACACACAGAGGGTCCCCCCAGAGAAGGCACCAGGCTCTAAGGGTGGGCAGGATTCAATGCCCAGCCCCTGCACTGCAACACCCACTTCCTCACCCTTCCTTTCCTTCATCCCCCTGGACTCAGCCCACTGCCCCACAGCAGCAAGAAGCAGGTTGGTGATGGGAGCACTGGGGATGGCTGCTGGGAGCACTGGGGATGGCTGCAGGTACAAAAGGCACATGGGGGAACACACAGCACAGAAGAAGAGATCAAAGAGGGAAAGAAAACAACACATTATCTCCCTGGGTAAAAAACCATGGGGAACTGAGGCTGCAGGACTGGGTGCAGTTCTGCCCTAGGAGTGATTCATGGGGCTGCCACAGAGCTGAGGTCAGAGAAGACCCCACAGAGAAGCAGGGCTGGCTAGAATCAGGATTTCACTGAGAGCAAAGTGACATTTTAAAACACCTGGAGCACCTGCAGCAGCTGAACAGGAGCCAGAGTCACCACCTTTAGCACAGGACATGTTGTCCTCAGCCTTGCTGCAGGAATTCCCATGGGGAAGGCAGAGCATTGCCCACATGCTGCCCCCAAGACAGGCAGATCCATCCTTACCCAGAGCCTCAACAACTCCCTCCACATGGTCCACAGGTCCCATTTCCCATGTCCCCCAAGAAGCTGAGGTGCCACTGCACTAATGAAAGGGCAGAGTTTCTCACAGACACGCTGGACGTGCTGCTCTGGGGTGAGGATCTCAAGCCACCAGCAGGACCTTCTGCCCCAGCAGTGGGTATTTCCTGTACCCAACACTACCAGGTTTCACTCTGCCCTGTACTTGTAAAGCCAATGTATGTGGCTTTTCCCAGGAGGTTCAAAGTCCACACATATCTCCAAAGGCAGCAAAGCAGCCTCGGCTGGGGCAACTGCCCCATTGTTCATGCAAATCATGCCCCAAGCAAGGTGCTATTTAAGAGGAGCTCCAGGTTCTCATTAACCAAGGCCCTAACAAAGGTTTGGTCTGAACTTCCTTCCACCCAGACGGCTCAGTCAACACAGAGCTCCTCCCACACCACACACCAAAACCTTGATTTCCTCCAAGTGCCATCGTGATCAAAGTGAAAGATGAGACACACACACACAGGGGAAAGATCTCCAGGGGATTAGTCAGCTGTTGGACTCCAGAGGAACATGCCTGATGGCCTCAGCAGGAGACAGCAAGGAGAGGGAAGTGCTGCACCAAGCAGGGAGCTTGGTGGGGATGATGCTCCAACACCTGCCCAGGGACTCCAGCCCTCCTCATGCAGCAGCCAAGGCACAAACACAGCCAGCTGGGGCTGATCAGGTGAATTCTTTCCCTGGGAAGCCTCATCCAGGTGTCCCAAAGAGCAGGAGGAAACCCAGCCCTGGTGCCACACAGGACAGCAGGCTGCTCAGGGCCAGCTCCCTGCCCATCAGTTCCCTCACAGAGGCACCAGAGCAAACATCCTCCTTTGCCCAGATCCCAGCCTGTGTCCCAGCCCCCTGCACGAGCCCCAGAGCTGCTCCTCTGCATTTTTACCACCATTAAGTACAAACCAAACACACTCCTCTTCCTCTAACCTGAGCTCTTTCACAGAGATGCCCTGGTTTGAACTCCCCTCTTAGACAGGAAAGATTTTGATGTCTAGGATTTTTCCAAGCTGGAGCAACAGGAGATGAAGATACTCAAAACATTCATGTTTTTCCACTCAGCTGCCCCCATTCTTCCAATTCTTTCTGCAAAAGCACTCAAAAGATTTGTTTTTAAACTCAAAAGTGCAGCTTTACTTTGAACCTTCCTGTGGGGAGCTGATGGGAAACAAGTCCTGGAGCTAAATTCTCAGACTGGGAGCTCAGAAATGGTTCCCAGGGTGGCAGGAGCAGGTTCTCATGGCTGGTTTTGCATCACCTCCCAGGAGGCACCATCCCAGCCCTCTGCAAGAAGAGGTGCCCATGGCCAGGATGTGGCCCTGATGCCAGCAGGTCCCACAAAACACAACCAGCCCCAACACGTGTCATGAACGTGACACCAACCAACAGCTCTGAGTC